AATATATCCCTCGGGCCAAAGGCCACAGGGGCTAGTTTCGCCTTCGGGCATTAGAATCTACATAATCCCCTTGGTACATAAATAGCTATTATGTACTTCACTGGGGGGTTATGGGAATCGGTTTTTAGGGCAGCTAAATTTCAGATTAGAAGATTGATAAGTATGCAAACATTAACATATGTACTATGAGGAGTTTGAACAAACAGACTCAAATTTTTTTTTATAGCGTCTTTCGAAAAGGGCATATTAGGGAGAAGTCATCAACGGCACATCAGAGGTCGTTTTCATCAGGTAAATTTATAACTTTAGCACCATTAGCGCTGTCAAAACATTTGTCCATGAACTCATGAACAAAATGAACTGGCCCTGTAGCCATGAATATCATAAGTTTATCCGCTAACCTATCAGTTCTAGTTTCTTCTCCATTGTCTTCGAAGCCATCTAACCTATCTTCTCCAGGATTATACTGTACAGTTGGATCCAAAGATATTCCATCAAAAAGAATTGTGCAGTACCTGTCTAGTCTTTTCATTTAAGATATATATATATATATATATATATATATATATATATATATATTTTTCAATTATTGAAGAATTAAGTATATTGTTAGTGCCAAGTTTTAATGGGCACACTACTAAGCAAATCTTATAGTCCTTTGGACTTTGTTTTAGTAGTCCTAAAGCAAAATTGTTTTTCTCTGTTGACTTTCTCCGCCCTTTTGGTGCAACTTTTTGCTGTTTTAACTGACTCATGATAAAGTTAAATCACTGTTCAATCAACTTGGTTCGCATGAAAACTCCTGTTTCTGCAAACTTATTCCTACTTTGAAATCTGCACTACGTCTAATTAAACGGCTAGTTTTATCAAAATGATGGTTGCATACTCTATAATTATTGGTCCGTACATTGGTTCCATCGAGAAGAGTTTTTGGTTACTAAAGTTTTGCAGCCATATATCAAACACCTAAATAGAGAGAAAGTTATCAGTAGGTATACAAAGCCGGTTCTACAGAGGAAGTTATATAGGTATTAATAGCAACACACAATATGTATAATAATATCCTGTGAATAACCCCAAATACCCGCCTATGCCTTTTTTCTTCATGAAGCCGGCATAGGACGGCTTAGGACTTTTAGTATGTTGTTTAGTACACGAAATAGAATATCTCTACCAAAATTCAAATCTACATTATGTTTTTCCAGGTCAAACCCTAATAGGACTGGCCTATACAGGGTATCCCAAAAGAACCGGAACGGTCAAATATCTCGGCAACGGCGTGACATAACGGTATGAAATTTGGTATACGGAGGTTCTGAATAATGCCGGATCTAAAAATGATATTTGCAACGTTGCCGGTTTTATAGTTTTTCCGATAAATCTCTCAACTTTATTTTTTCAAATGCAAAGCTACAGTAATTTTTCTTTTAAAATGTTGGTCAAACCAAAGTGTTTTCAATCCTAAAATATCAAATTTTTCTTTTGTGGTTTTTAAAAGATATGGCAATACTGCATTTTCATTTAGAAGAAACTGAAATGGTAAAATATCTTAGCAACGGCTTAATACAACGTTATGACATTTGGTATACAGGGGTTTTTAAAAGTGCCGGATCTAAAAATTTTATTTGCAACGTTACCAGAACTACAGATTTTCCGATAAATCTCTCAACTTTAGATTTTTCAATGCAAAACTATAGTAGTTTTTCATTTAAAATGTTGGTCAAGCCGAAATGTTTTCAATCCTAAAATATCAAATTTTTCTTTTGTGATTTTTAAAAGATATGGCAATACTGCATTTTCATTTAAAAGAACTGAAATGGTAAAATATCTCAGCAACGGCTTAATATAACGTTATGATATTTGGTATACAGACGGTTTTAGAAGTGCCAGATCTAAAAATAATATTTGCAACATTGCCAGTTTTACAGTTTTCCCGATAAATATCTCAACTTTAGTTTTTTAAATGCAAAACTATAGTAAAGTCCGTTTTTTTTTTAAAGATAATTCCCCAAGTCAAAAATTTAGTAACTATGTTGGCAGCACAAGCCTTTTATACATAAAAAATTTGAAAGCATTGACAATTTTACATTGTATTGCCAACATAATGTCACTTTGACTTTTATCTTTAAATAAAAAACAGATTTTAGTTTTTCATTTAAAATGTTAAGGCGAGTTTAAACAACTTCATAACTTTAATTTAATGCGTAATTCACAATGTAGTGCATAAGCTTTAAAGTTAAATTTATTAATTTTTATGGAAGCGTTTATACATCTATTTAATGCTCGATTCATAATTTAGTTCATAATGGATAACCTTAAAAGTTCCCAACTTTTAACTTTTATGCATTAAATTATGAAAAAACTGGAACTTTCGAGTTCTGTCAGTGTCAAATTTCAAAATATCAATAGAAACATTTCAAAAATTATGTATTAAATTATGAAGTTGTTTAAACTGGGGTTTTGAGTTATGTATTGAATTACGCATTAAATTATGAAAAAATTGCGACCTTAATTAATCAAAAGTTGTTTAAATCCGTCTTTAGTCAAATCAATATAATTTTAAGTCTATATTATTAATTTTTTCTTTCTCGCATTTTGAAAGATATGGCAATAATGCATTTTCATTTAATCTCACCAATGGCGTAACAGAATGTAATGTTTTCCGGAATTATTTAGTTAAGTGTTTAAAACCTAGACCTTAGAAATTTCAGAAATTTTTTATTAAAGTTCTGATTTTCATAAAATATTTTAAACACTTAAAAATCCATAACTCGAAAACTAAACAATCATTGGAATTCATACTTGTGAGGTAGAATAGCATCGGAAAAACTCAGAAACCGTGTGCGACTTTTTCAGAAGTTTAATATTTTTTTGTATTTTTATTTTATTTTTTTATTAAATTTTGACATGTTCTTGTATGATATCCAATTGCTCGGTAATAGACGTCTTTGGTCAAATATCAAATAGATATTCTAAAAGACAACTAAATTACGAATTATTTAAGACCTTTTTTGACCCGACACATATTAAAAACTCCTAGAAATTTTAACTTTACATTAAATTTTTATTTGCTTTATCCTAGCAATGTTCCTATTAACATTTCTAAAAAACAACTAGGTCGTCGGAAAGCAGATAGCTCGACAAAAGTAAAAAACTTAACGTATTAAGTAAGTGTTCAAAAATATTGGACATTATTTGCCAAGTCTGTGATAACTCGCGTATAGTATTATAGTAAAATTTCATGTCAAGTTGAAATTTTTAGATTTTTTAAAAATTTTCTATTTTACCAATTGGGTCCAAAAAGGTATTACTTAAATGATTCGTAATTTAGTTATCTTTAAGGATTGGATATCATACGGGCCACGGTAACATGTCAGAATTTAAGAAAAAAAAATCAAAATACAAAAAAATATTTAAATTTTGAAAAAGTCGAAACACAGTTTTTGAATTCTTCCGGAGCTGTTCTACCTCACTAAGTATGAATTCCAATGATTGTTTAGTTTTCGAGTTATGGATTTTTAAGTGTTTAAAATATTTTATAAAAATCGGAACTTTAATAAAAAAATTCTGAAAATTCTAAAGTCCATTATTTAAACACTTAACTAAATAATTTCTAATAATATTACATTATGCTACGCTATTGGTAAGATATTTCACCGTTCCAGTTCTTTTAAATGAAAAAGAATTATTGCCATATCTTTAAAAATTCGAAAAAGAAAAAATTTAGTAATTCTAGACTTTGGTTTGACCAACATTTAAATGAAAATCCACCATGTCGACGCATTTGAGTTAAAAGATTTATCGGAAAAATTGTAAAACTGGCAACGTTGCAAATATAATTTTCAGGCCCAGCACTTTTAAAAACCTCTGTAGGTATACCAAATGTCATAACGTTGTATCAAGCAATTGTCAAGATATTTTACCATTTCAGTTCTTTCAAATGAAAATGCAGTATTGCCATATGTTTTAAAAACCACAAAAGAAAAATTTGATAGTTTAGGATTGTAAACACTTTGGCTTAACCAACATTTTAAATGAAAAACTACCATAGTTTTGCATTGAAAAAACTAAAGTTGAGAGATTTATCGGAAAAACTGTAAACCTGACAACGTTGCAAATATTATTTTTAGATCTGGCACTTTTAAAACCCCCTGTATACCAAATGTCATAACGTTGTATCAAGCCGTTGTTAAGATATTTTACCATTTCAGTTCTTTTAAATGGAAATGCAGTATTGCCATATCTTTTAAAAACCACAAAAGAAAAATTTGATATTTTAGGATTGAAAGCACTTTGGTTTGACCAACATTTTAAAAGAAAAATTATTGTAGCTTAGCATTTAAAAAAATAAGTTGAGAGATTTATCGGAAAATCCGGCAACGTTGAAAATATGATTTTCAGATCCGGCACTATTAAGAACCCCCGTATACCAAATTTTATACCGTTATGTCACGCCCTTACCGAGATATTTGACCGTTCCGGTTCTTTTGGGATACCCTGTATATCCATGCCAGTATTATTTTGCCAGTGAATGGAAAATGTCAACTTCAATAGAATGACTTCAAACAATATGAGAATCAATTGCTTGAGTAGCTTCAGTTCCAAGAGCTCTCTGAGTAGGTAACTGTCTGAGTTGTAACTGGAGGTCGAGGTGTTAGATTTTGAGATGAACAGGACGTGCTGCTGTAAAATTCCAACAACCTGTACTTCCTTGAATCGCTATCACTATTTCTACTACTCGATGAGATGAATTCTCATAGTTGAGCTCTTTGCAAAAGTCTGTATATTTCTCACTCATGTAGATAAGATAGGATTTTTTTCCACCATCAACTTCCAACTTCCACTCACAAGCGACCATGCCAAGAATATTGCAATTGAATAACTGAAAAAAAATTAATAATCAATATCTGGAAATATGCAAAATATTACATCACAGTTAATAAAAAAAATTGTGGAACACATAAAATACAAAATAAATAATCTCAATGTTATGTTTCTAGTCACACGTGCGTCTTCTATGACGGAAACTGATTCTCATACAAAATATGAAAGACAGTGGAGTAAATCCAGACCACGGCCTGGAACGTCAACTGGAGCCACTCCCAATCCTCTCATAGCTCCTCCGCCGTCTTCTCAGAGGAAGAACAGTAATGCCACTGAAACTGAGGATTTGATCTCATTTTCTAGTCCTCCTGCGAGTAATACGAATATTATTGAATTTTGTAATCAGCAAAAGTAAGTAATTTGTCCAAATAAATAAAAAAAAAACATAAATTTGACTATTAGTTTTTTTTTGTTTTGTATTTTGTTAAATTTTGGAAGACAACATCAACAAAAATTTGTATTGTAATAGGTATAGATTTCATTAAATTTAAAAACAAATATAAGTTTTTTTACGCTGGAAAGGAAATGTTCACTAATAGAGAATCATGAAATCACCTGTTTTTACTCAAATCCAACGTATTGACACTTTGAATCCTTTTCAGGGATAGATTAGTCAAGGTGATGTAGGTAGTAGGTACCATAAAAACAAACATCCATCGCTTTATGTTCATACCTCATTTCATCTCTAGAATATGATATAAATTATCAGCCTATTTTAATTAGAAATAAGAACCAATCTCAAACGTAATTTGACTTGGTCTTTTGGGCTTTAGAACAAATACAAATTGATGCCATATTATTATTATTTTTTTGATACCTTGACTTTTTTTTTTTGTAAAAACGATGCTTATCAACAAAACTAGATTAGATAATGTGTAATCTCAAGTACAAAATTAATGCTTTTCCCATTTTAGTTACAACACAAACAATCAACTTGTACGTGTTTCTACACCCACTGTGATACAGCAATCATCCGCGATGCACCCTTATTGGCAACAGCATATGGGTCCTTCTAGGTACCCGACAATGCCTCCCGGTTATCCGGGTCCGAGTGGTTATCCTCATAATCTGTATAACTATCGTCCGCCCGGTTCTGTGTATTACCCTCCGGGAAATATGGGATATTATCCGCCTCAAATGCCGAACACGCCAATGATTTATCCGCGTTTACCGTCAGGGCCCGCCGTTAATGTGGCCAGTATCGGATTTAAAACAGGTATTACAGGAAGTTATCCGGATAATAGTATGCCTCCTCCACCACCGCCTGTTATGGGTGGGTATGCTCCAGAGGTAAGTCTTGTTTTTTCTCAAGTTTGATTGGTATTTACCTAAGCTTTGGCAAGTATTTTTCACTATTAAATGTTGATGTAGCGCATAATAGAAAGTGAAATAATTTTTTTGTTTTGTGCCTCATGCTTCAATGAAGCATAGATATCTTATGGCTCGTATTTGCTGCCCGCACAGTATGTACTTATAATATGTATTAACAAATTTTAGTTAAATGCTTTTTTGGGGAATATGTGGTTTTAAGTGAAATGTATTTTCTATAAAGAATTTTCCCGCTCAGCAAGTACATTGCTTAATTTAAAAGAATTTCAAAATTAATAATGAACAAACCGTGAAATATTGCTTCATTTAATAGAAGAGTTTCATGATACTAACATCACTAGTAAATAGTAATTAATATGATTCAGTTCCTTAGATGTCTGGAATAGTAATTAAATGTGAGTATAATTCTATCATTACATTATTTAGTAACCAGAGAGATTGTCGGGATAGGACACTTAAAAGAAACAAAATTCTCAAATATAAATTTCTATTGAGTTTTTGTGAGTTATTGTGATAGTTTTTGCGTTATTGTAGTTTTTTTTGTGTTTACTTGCCTAGACAAAATTTTATATTTGTTCCAACTATTTTGTACATACCTGAGAAGCTTCATAATTGTATTTATCGAACATTGAAAATTTTCCAAAAATGACACTGAGACAGTTTTTGCCTAACAGCTCCTTTAATTTTCATCCGATGTCAATGTAATTATGCTCTTATTGAAGCCAATTAAATTATTTACAAACCTGTTGATTAAGATTTCAATTTAGTTACAACAGTTTTGCAGCTGAGAAGCTTCAAAATTGAAATTGTTCAACATTGAACATTTTACAGAAATGAGACAGTTTTTGCCTCACAGCTCCTTTAATTTTCATCTGATTTCAACGCAATAAGGCTCTGATTGAAGCCAATTTAGGTCTCTACAAATTTGTCAATTGAGATTTTAATTCAGGTTCAACAGTTTTGCAGCTGAGGAGCTTCAACATTGATTTTATCAAATATTGAAAATTTTCAAAAAATGACACTGAGACAGTTTTTGCCTCACAGATCCTTTAATTTTCATTCGATTTCAACGCAATTAGGCTCTAATTAAAGCCAATTAAATTCGCTACAAACCCGTTGATTAGGATTTCAATTTAGTTTGAAGAGTTTTGTAGCTGAGAAGCTTCAAAATTGAATTTATCGAACGTTGAAAATTTTACGAAAATGACACTGAGACAGTTTTTGCCTCCCAGCTCTTCAATTTTTATCCGAACTCAACGCAATCAGGCTCTGATTGAAGCCAATTAATTTTTTTACAAAACTGTTAATTTAGTATATTACAATCCGAAATTAGCTATTACTGTCGAGAGATTTTATAGTTTATACCTCGAGACAGAATTAAGTCCGCTATGATGACATAATACATGACACGCCCCTAATAAAAAAATAAAAAATAAAATAAAAATTATCAAAAACAAAATAAGAAATGCAATGAAAAATGGATATGAACAAAACTTAATACTAAATATCATGTTTTTTGGGTGTTTTAATTGTACGACCACTACAAGTAGTATATGCATTATTTAACTCTTTATAGTCTTTATCAGCAGGCACGATTGGATCAACATTTTTATCGTGAGTCACATCAATGTTATTTTTTGAGAATTTCTCAACTATAGATTTTCTTCAACTGGTATTTCTATCTGATCATTTTCTTTCATTTTAATGGGCGAATTGGTCTGGGGATTTGGAAATTCTCTCAAAGGTCTTAGGTTTATCCGATTTCTTCTCTATTCTGCGCCATCATTAGTTTGAACGAGAAAATCATTTGGTCCTGATTTTTTAATCACAGTAGCAGGTTTCCAATTTCTAAGACCTTTTTGAATCAACACTTTCTGTCTTGGCTCAAGGTTAGGTATAGCTTTTTTGCAGATCGATTATAATGTTGAGCTTGTATTTTCGGTTTATGCTGCAGTTTTTCCCTAATGCTTTTTATTGAATAATTCGGTGTTAAGAAATCACGTGACACTAGCATAGTTGTACGCAATTTCCTACCCATAAGTAGCTCACATGGAGCAGGCAAGTCTTGCTTGGGCGTCATGTTATAGTTTAATATGCATAAAAATAGATCTTCACCATCTTTGAGGTACTTTTTGAATAGAGCTTTAACAGTTTGATTCGCCTTCTTAATAATTACATTGCTTTTTGGGTAGTGAGGACTCGAAGTAGTAAGTTTGTTGTCGTATTTGCTAGCAAATTTTGCGAATTCTGCAGAATTGTAGGGAGGGTTATTATCCGAGAAGATTTCTAACAGAAGATTGCAAATATACTTTTCAATGCAAATATCACATTCTCGACTGTTTTCCTGAGAATGCGATTGACTACAACAAATTTGCTAAAGTAGTCAATTACTATAAAATCCAAACCATCCAGAGATTTAAAATCGATACCAATTTTTTTTCCATAGAACATTGTGGAGTGAAAGAGGCGTATTCTTGACAGGTTTGATAGCAAAATACAACATTTTCAATATCCCTGGTTATTCCTGGCCAATAAACTGTTTCTTGGGATCGCTTTTTACATGATACTACGCCTTGGTGGCAATTGTGTATCAAATTTAAAAATTCTTGCCTTAAGGTTTGTGGTATTAGTAATCTTTTCTTGTAAAACAAAACATCTCTATGCAAGTAGAGATCATTTTTAATATTCCAGTATTTTTTCAATTCAGAGGGAATATTGCTTTTGCGTTCAGGCCATCCAGAAAGGACAACATTTTTCACTTGTTGCAAAATAGCATCATTTAAGAGGGCTTGTTCAATAGTGCGGCAGCTTAGCTAGGATATTTCAACATATTGTGCACTTTTTGATAAAGGCACCAAATTTGGCACAGAGGTAGACCGATGTAATACAAACAAATTTGAATGTGGAGCCATCGGCCAACTGCCTTCCGGCGGCCGCGGCGGCGATTTTCTAAAATGGCCGCTAGTGGTCACCCCGAAAGGCAGTAAAAGTCAGATAAAGTTTGTTGCTGAAGGTTTTAGTGAATGTTTATTGATGGTTTTGAATTAAAACCAGATATTTTGTAAGTTATACAGGGTGAGGCACGAAAAACTTCCCACCTAGGTTTTTTCAGGTGCTATGTGATTAATCAAAAATCGCTCGGACACGTCAACTTTCGTTTTTTGGGGGACACATTTTATTGGTATTTCCACCCCCTACCCGCAAAATTATAAATGAAAAGGGGATTCGAGTGATTACTATTTCCTAACTTTGACATGCGCCATGTCGGCAGGGTAAATAAATACTAGCACCTTAAAATTTTAAGAATATAATCTTAATAAAAATCGACTGATGTATCACTCCAATCCACTCTCTATTTGAAATTTTGGGAGTAGGTACCTGTCACCACCGCTTAAAGGTTCACAGGTGAGGGATGAAAATACCAATAATATGGTCGAGTGATTTTTGATTATTCACCTAACACCTGAGAAAACCTGGGTGGAAAGTTTTTTTGTGCCCCACCCTGTATATATTTATTTAATAGTGCGGAAAACTGTTTATTTCCATTTATAATGAAAAAATGCACATTTTATTTGTTTACCTAATATACATTTCGTTGCTATCCAAAATTTAATAAAAATAAAGGTGTTTTTGAAAGTGGTTTTGACTAGTTTTATATATACATACCTACATACATATTATATAATATACAGGGTGTCCCACCGATAACTGTCAATAGCCTTTATCTTAAAAATTATGATCGATAAAAAAAAGAAGAATCCGTCTAAAGGGTTGGAAGGCGGAACCAAGACAAGTTACTTTCCAGCTCTCGAGTAACAGACCAGAACAATAAAATGTTGTTTTTCTAATTAAAATCATAAAAACTAACTTTTCTTTTGTTTAAAATCGATTTTAAATCATAATTACTGTTCCACCCGATCAAATGAGTTTTCGTCGAATGTGGAGACACATTTAAATCTGGATAATTTTTCTTGGCAGATTCGTTTATAGAATTTAGACTTTTCAAACAAGGTATTACATAACCTATAGTGCCACTCAAGATTTTGAGGTTAGGGTGGCTACCGCCGGAGGGATGGTTTGGGGAGAGCTGAAAAGTACCTTGTGTTGGTTCCTTTTTCCAACCCTTCTAACAGTTTTTTTTTTCTATTCATCGATTATCGCTTTCAAGATATGTGCCATTGACAGTATTCGGTGGAACCCCCCCGGTATATGCAGGGTGTCCCACGAGGTTTTACCTTCACCCGAGCCTTAACAAATATTATGGCATTGCCGATTTTTTAATTTAATTTTCTAACGAAATTGCCATAATATACCATGAGTTAAATTTAGGATTTTAAAATTGCCGTGACTTGACAGAAGCTGGAGCGAAAGTGGTAAAATTGGATGAGATAACACGTAGAAGCAACACAAAAAGTTACTCAGATCCTCAAAGTTTCAATTATATTGGATGACGCGTTCCGTAGTTATCACCTGGGTGAAACGTCGTGGGACACCCTAATATACAAACTATCTGGCATGTTTTCATTCAAAACATTCAATAAAAATTCACACTAGAACTTTCAGCAGCAAACTTTATTCAACTTCTGTTGCCTTTCGTGGTGTCCATTGACGGCCATTTTAGAAAATCGCCGCCACGGCCGCCGGGGGGCAGTTGGCCGATGGCTCCACATCCAAATTTGTACATATTACATCGGTCTACCTCTGTGCCAAATTTGGTGCCTTTAACAAAAAGTGCACAATAAGTTAGCTAATCCGCTGTACTACAAGGCGTTCTTCGTTTTCTGGAGACGTGGCTATCATAGAATAAACCATTGAGTTTGCATCCAAGTACATGGTATCAATAAATTCATGACGGGCTTCTACTAAGAGTTTCAGCTATTTGTATTTTCTTTCCTGGGACATATTCTAATGTAAACTGATATATCTTAGCAATCGAATCGCTATATAGTCTTTGCAATCTC